CCGATTCTTTTTTAACAGAGCCACGTAGCAGTCGTCCTAGGCAGACCTATGACGGTATGGCTTGAGCATAAATATCATATTTTATTTTTGTGCCTTTAAAGCCAGTCTGGAACTTGTCTGGTTGGCTAACAGTAAGAGCTTCAGGATTGGCATCTTGGAAATGCTGCTCTCGTGACTTGAAAGGCTGGTGAATTATTATAGTGAATGAAAAATGCATGAAGTTAATTTATTTTTGTAGCGTTTAAAGTTAACCATTTTAAGCATAGTCCATACCTTATTTTTCAGTTCTAATTTAGGTGGCTACTTTGTTCATCTCTGACAAGGGCATGAAAGTTACAGTTGAAGACATGAAATGCGTGCAAGCAAACGTTTTCTTACAGAAAAGTGTTTTCAGAGATTACAAGATTAGTGAGAATGTCGAATTTCGGATTAAGCTAGCGCTTATCTGTGTAAGTTATCGTCATTAATATTTCAGTCTGTTTTAATTAGTCTTTTGTTTCCAGGAATGCCTAAATCTGTTCGCATCAGGTTCTGTTTTCGGTGCTGTCCCGACTGTGCGTTTTGAATATGATGGATATGGAACTCCACTGAGGATTCTGTGCGTATCATGTTTATTTGCAACTTTCTTATCACTTTTATAAATTGACCGATTTGTTGATTGTGAAGGATAAGAAGTGCGATGGTTTTTACATGTGATGAGATTGTTACAGTCCGTGAGAGACTGTCTGGATGAAACGTCTTGATAGGGTCACATGGAAGACGAATCAGGGGCATAATGCAGATCAAATGGCTCGACTGTGGAAAACTTTGCATTGGAATGCCAACCATTGTGCTTTTCCTTTTAAAGGAATGTAATATTCATTGCAAAGACCTCTTGAAACAGCTGCCCCAGAGACCCAAGAGGAATAGCAAGATTTTAAGTGAATGAACGAACGAGTCGTTTATTGCACGTGCAGTTCAAAGTTCTTTCAGGATTAACAGCATTATGTTTGTTGTTACTGTAATCTGGGGTATCAGGTTAAGGACAGATTTCCCAGATTAATGATGTCTGACAATTTGGCTTCTCAGAATAATTTAGGCAGTTTGTTATCATGCTTGAATATTATGAAATACTTCGAATGTAACACTTCGTGTTTGTTTAGAAAGCGAAGCATGAATGAATCTTGTCATGAATGTGTAAGAGAGTTGTCCTGGTGGTTTCCTACTAAATAGTCCGTGAGAGAAATGTTCAACTTTAACTTATTTTTGTGTTTTTCAACATTATTTTAACTTTCTTTCCAGAAAAATTATTGATCTGAGCAAATTCAATGGCTCCATTTAGAAGTCATGCGTGTTCAAAATACTTGACCAGATAGCCAGATATCTTTCTGTCTTTACGTGAACAGATTGTTTTATCAGGTGAAATGTGCGGAAACGCAATTTGCCTTCTGAATTCTTTCTTATGCGACGCAATGGCGAAAGCGGATCGTCTTTTTAATGTCTAAAAGTCCAGGCATAGACCGTAGAAAGGATAGGCCAATTAAAATTCCTCAATTCCATTGTTTCCAGTGATATCGACAGCAAGCTTGGGTTAAATAGAAGGATCATCCGCGGTACCAGCGACACTTTTGGTAGCTAGAGTAGTATGTAAGCTGAAAAGAGAGTATCCCACTTCACCAACATTGGCTTGTATCTTGCTTCGGCTACGTCCTTGTTGCTCTGTGGCATGGAGATGGTGGTTCTAACGAAAGACTATGAGCGATAGTTGAGCAGCGTACAACAACTGTGAATTCAGCGTATAATGTTTATCAAACGGCAGGATAACAGAAAATGATTCTACTCACTGCCGCACAAATACGTCCTCAATATAAATAGAGGCTACGATAATAAAGTTGGCTCTCTTAGGTAAACTGGCTGAGCATAAATCATTAACTTTTGCCTCGAATATCTCGCGGTGGAAGTGAAGCACAGGCGTCAGGTTTCAGTTGGCGTGCAGATGTATTTGTTTTGATATTACTTAATGGTATGTCGAGCATGTATTTTGCTTGAGCCACAGCTTCAAGTTTACAGGCTAGCGTGCCTGGTTTATGTCCTACTTTGTGATGCTATGTTGCATCGATGCAGTGCCGGGGCTCAGACGCTCTAAAGCCATGACCACTATACCCACAGATTAAAGGGACGGTGCAACACTGCCGTAAGACCCACTATTGACATGCGTCATCATTCACTACGATGGCGTTTTAGTTACCCAGTTTTTTTGGTGTGAACCAAAATGTAAAAGATTGAGACAGATCTACCTTCATGGATAAATTGCGCCGAATACGATGTTGTAACAACTTTCTTATACCAAAAGTATTGAAAAGCTGATAATTAGTAAGTGAATGGTGTGGTTTGGTGAATATGATGCTTCGTAAACGCACAAGCGAAACATTTTCGTCAATAGATTCAATTGTTATAATTAATGTATTGCTAATGTTATTTGTATTGAATTACTATTCGAACGTGTTATTGAATGGGAATATGCATATATTTCTAGATTCTGGGTGTAATACACGTTGTACTTTACGAAAATTGAGGTTAAAAATTTTCAGGTTGGAGGAAGCAGGCGTGATAACGGATTGCCAGATTAAAACGATGGACGTGGGCGAGTATCTTGAGTTCGACTTTGCTCCTTCGAACGTATTGAACATGATCATTATGAGGGTAGAGTGAATGACGTCGAATGTTGCTTTTGACGGTGAACATCATGAGGTTTCATCCATCTTTTAGCCTGAAACTCTTCGCGACACCTTTCAAGAACTGGATTTAGCATGTGAATTTGTTGAACTGTACATAAACCCGGATTTTGGCTTTATGATTTCTGCTGCCTGCTCCGGTGTTAGCGTTCAGGTAGGGAATTATTGTTTCAGTCGTTATCAAAACTGCCAAATAATTATTTGTGGTTAATGCATTGCCAGTTCCATGGATTTGCTTTCCGTTGTGATTTTCATCATTATATGAACTTAAGCTATCCACGAACAGCAGAGTTACCAGAGTAATTCATCATTAAGCTTTATATTAGTTAGCTTACGGCTGCAAAACTGATTGTACTCTTCTTTACACGCATGTATGATTTGCGTTTTTCTCCAACATATACGCGATCTTGATTTTTCTGACTCACAGGCGAAAGTTCCAAGACTTTCTGATGTAATTAGAGTGCGCCTAATTTGTATGAGAGACTATAAAATCGATGACATCTTTCGGCGGTGAAATAAGATTTCAGTCCTTAACGGTAGTTATGTAAATTTGTGTAGGTTTATGTAATTGTAGCTTGGTGACGTTGGCTAATAAAGTTAGGAGTCGGTCATTTGTTTCCTGATATGCTCAGCTAGCTTGGTCTAAAACCAGTGTTTTTTATCACTTAGAAGCTTCTGTCTCTGTGTCATTCCAAATGGCTTTTTTTGCTCCAATGGCGTCCTAAACTTCTGGTGTCCAGCCAGGAGTTCTTTTTTGTCGTTTGTCATACAACCAGTCGATTTAACCCTCAACATGATTAGGCTAGTTCTGACTATTCTATGCTGCGCCCACTCAGTATTTGCATAATAAGCTTGGCTAAATGTCCAGTTGAGCCGTTTTCTTGCAACTTAATCTTTCTAAATTTTCCACTTTATTCGATAGTCCAATTCTAGTCCACTGGTATTGTGGTTTATCATGAGTTTTGAAAAGTGCATTTTGCAGACAGAAAGGTAGTGGTCAGACAACTACTTCGCCAATCATTTCGTCTGAACCTCCAACACCATCAGAAATAAGTCATGTAAACTAAAGTGTTACGATAATGGGTACATTTATGAACTCATGGT